GACCCCTGCCAGCAGTGAGATGCTTACACGCTCACTAATTCGGCTTTCCTCCTGCAGTCAGCATCATTTAGTGTGTTTTGTGAGATGGAGGAGGGCTTTGTGGATTGGTGTCAGACCTATGGGTTAATGTTGAACTTGTGGGCTTGGACAGCACTGGGTTGGGATGTTTTCTTGATGTGCACTTAACCTTTATATAAAACTCTCTCTTATACTTGAGTTTCTGTGGATTTGTTTCTCTGAATTACCCAGACTAACACAACGTGAAAGCCAATTTTGTGGAAGAATTCTCACTATGTGATCTGGGGGTCCCCTTGTACGTAAAGGGCCCATTAGCCAAAGAAGGGCAGACGTGGCAGCCCGGCTAGCCCAGCTCCCTAAGTGGAGTAGACCTAGTATCATCTATGGAGACCACGCATGGTCCCCTCAGTTTCTGTTGCGCAGTTACTTAGTGCTGGTCTCTGTGAGGATGGTTCTGGACTGGTGTACATTGTAGGGCCACTTGAGTCAGCACCAATGCAACAGCACCTCACAACCGCCAGTCTCGGTGCTCTCCATTCCCCTCGGACTGACAGTCTGAGAACCCTATATAGGGCGAACATGAGTTGGAATTGACTCGATGACAGCCTCTGTGCTGAGTCCCTATGTGGTGCAAATGGTTAACGGGCTCTGCTACTAAATAAAAGCTTCAAGTTCACCTACAGAAGCCTTGGAAGAAAGGCCTGGCAATCTACATCTGAAACACCAACCCCTGGACACCCTATCTCAGGTGTGCAGTTCCACTTGGACACTAGCAAGGCCGCTATGAGCGGGTGTAGACTCACGGCCACTGGGTTAGTCTCTGTGCTGAGTCTCCTTTACACTACTCCATGTAGGCTTGATCATTACTCTTGTTTCACAGATGAGCAAACGGAGGCATGGAGATGCCCAAGGGCACACAGCTCGCAAGTTTCCAATCAGTGTTTGGGTTAAGCCTTTACACAATTGCGCATTTAATTTAACCTTTCCACAATTTGTCCATTGCAAACAAAATGTCCATTAGATTAGTCAGTCAGGATTGGATTTATCTCCCTAGGATAAACTATTTATGTGGGGTGCTTTTGGTAAAAACCCAAGAGCTAGGTAAAAGAGCTAATACAAGAAGCTCTACAATTTCTGTGGTGTAAGACCATCTCAGCCTTCCAATTTTAGTTCTAAAAGAGCAGTCTTTTTTGGTCCAAACATTTTTCTGTATTTTTATGACGTATGAGTGTACCTGTGTGTGTTTACAAGAATTGGTTTTCCGATTACAAGGATCTACATGTGACCTCCTCCCTGGGGGACAGACACCAGAAAAGTGGGTGAAGGGAGACGTTGGACAGGGCAAGATATGACAAAATAATAATTTATAAAGTATCAAGTGGTCATAAGGGAGGGGGGAGAGGGGATGGAGGGGAAAAAATAAGGACCTGATGCCAGGGGCTTAAGTGGAGAGCAAATGTTTTGAGAATGATGAGGGCAATG